CTGCTCATTAGTTTCATCCACCACCAGAATGTGGTTGACTGTAAAGTTGAAACTGGGCAATAAAATGTTTGCAGCCAGCACCTGGCTTTCAGATACAAGTAATTTGGCTGCTCTAGAGCCACCTGATCACTTGTATGCTACTGAAAAGTGTGCCTCCCTCTCCCCTCCGTTGTCGGCTATCGGCCCACTAATGCCCGGGACTGGCATGGCAGGTCTCTGTGGCTGTATTGGAGGGAGATAAGCACAATTCTGGTGGCTTACCTTCCCTCCACTTACTGAACCTGGACATGATGAAATCATCATCACATCCAGGTTCAGGCTGTCATTTGTCCAGTTGCAGTGGCCATAGAAGAACCTGGCACAGCACAATCTCTACTTCATCAGCTTCTGTGGGGTCTATAGGTGGCATTAGGGGTCAAATAGACCCCTATTGGCACTTCCTCTCGCTATTACATAAGGAATTTGTTAGCAATACAGTTAAGTGTATACAAAAATAAAGGCCACTTAAAATGACAGAGCGGGGTCAGCGCATGCTAAAGCACACAGTGCGCACAGAAGTCACCAACTGTCTGCACACTCAATAGCTACAGACCTCCAAACTTCGTGTGGCCTTCAGATTGGCACAACAACAGTGCGTAGAGAGCTTCATGGAATGGGTTTCCATGGCCGAGCAGCTGCATCCAAGCCTTACATCACCAAGTGCAATGCAAAGTGTCGGATGCAGTGATGTAAAGCACTCCGCCACTGGACTCTAGAGAAGTGGAGACGCGTTCTCTGGAGTGACGAATCACGCTTTTCTGTCTGGCAATCCGATGGACGTGTCTGGGTTTGGTGGTTGCCAGGAGAATGGTATTTGTCTGACTGACTGCATTATGCCTAGTGTAAAGTTAATTGGAGGGGGAATTATGGTGTGTGGTTGTTTTTCAGGGGTTGGGCTTGGCCCCTCAGTTCCAGTGAAGGGAACTCTTAAGGCATCAGCATACCAAGACATTTTGGACAATTTCATGCTTCCAACTTTGTGGGAACAGTTTGGGGATGGCCCCTTCCTATTCCAACATGACCGCGCACCAGTGCACAAAGCAAGGTCCATAAAGACATGGATGAGTGAGTTTGGGGTGGAGGAACTTGACTGGCATGCACAGAGTCCTGACCTCAACCCGATAGAACACCTTTGGGATGAATTAGAGCGGAGACTGCGAGCCAGGCCTTCTCGTCCAACATCAGTACCTGACCTAAAAAATTTGCTTCTGGAAGAATGGTCATACATTCCTATAGACACACTCCTAAACCTTGTAGACAGCTTTCCTAGAAGAGTTGAAGCTGTTATAGCTGTAAAGGGTGGGCCCGCTCAATATTGAACCCTACGGGGTAAGACTGGGATGCCATTAAAGTTCATGTGCGTGTAAAGGCAGGTGTCGCAATACGTTTTGTAATATAGTGTATGTATATATATATATATATATATATATATATATACACACACATTAAAGTGGCATAGAAAAAACACAAAATACATTTTAAAGGCCTCTACTCCCATGTACACACATATACAAGCACAAACACATCAGGTGCACCTACATGTTTACATAGCCACGGATTTTGGAGTGAAAGCAATAATTTTAGGGTCATCACTCACTGTTAACTCTAAATTGATGAGAAGTGAAGCGCTGTCTATAGGAAATTTTGGGTGCCTTAACTGCGACCACGGTTTTGATGTGTTATGTCTCTTTTTTTAACTGACGCAACCCCATTTTTTTATATTTGACAAAAAACTGGTACTATATTGTGTTTGTGTGCGCTAAAATTCTTTTTAGTGATTTTCCATAACAATATCGATTTGATAAACATTTGCGCAAATATCATGCAACATAAATTGCAACTAGCATTTTTATGTTGCTGCTGAGATCAGCCACCAAAAGAAGTGAGGGTAAAAATTCTGAACCTGGGCATATCACTGAAAACCAAACAGAGGGTCTGAACCTTCCCTACTCTGCCCAGAAGTTAACAGAAGCTGGGCTTTCATCTATAATAAAAAGTAAGAGTTTTTCTGCAATATTTCCTCTAATATATAAAGGATTTGTAACCATTTATGCTGATTGTACAAATTGCAATTTTGTGACAATTTTGAAGGTTGATTTTGACTGAAAACTTGACTGTGTGAAACTGATCAGTGCACATCCATCTGCCTCCCGTAGCTTTAATAACTTCACAATTTCGATCAATTTCAGGTAATCAAAATTGGAGTGCAGATAAACTGAAAAACCTTTCAACTATCATTGCTGTGATTCTGATTGACTTCCACCTCAACATCAATCGTTAGGTCACTCAGAATCACAAACTGATTAACTCAGTAGGTTGCAGATTGCTATAAACCTTTCCATTCCAAGTGATGGAAAATTTCCAGAAATTGTCACATTTAGGGTTGGCATTAGGCCTAGATTGTCCTTCTTGTAATCCATCACAACTTGCTAACCAAGGTTGGTAAATTTGCCTAATACTGAGTCAGGTCGAAGGCAGGGTTAGTCAGGTCCCAGGGGTTAGTTAGTCAATAATTGTACCAAAAACGGCTTCACTTTTGTTGTTGATAGAGTGTAGCAAGAGGATTGAGCTTCCTGGATCTTATAAAGTTGCCTGCTGACTTGTAGATGGAACTGCTTGGTTCCTGAACTTTACAGAAACATCCTACCACATGTATGTCCACTATATATCACTTAGATCTCTTGTGTGGAACTCTTGTAAGTAGGTAGAATGTTTCCTGATCAGAATGACACCAGAATATACAACAATCTCTGGTCCTGACAATCTCTTGCTGTTTATCTTTTTTCTTTTTTTGGTGAGCTTAAATAATTGTATGCTTATCTCCAATGCCAAATAATACTCCATATGGTGAAACTAATGGGATTTATTTTTCATAACTGACCTACTTTGCAGAAAATAAAACTGCTTTCATAGCCTTTGGCAGTGAATTGTGATCCGACGCGCAGATAATGAAGGCACTTCTTTAATGACTCGCATTAATTCTAATGATAATTTCCAACATGGAGTGAAGCTCGTTCAGCTGGGTTTATGGTCTAACAGCGTGAAATAGCATTGATGTACGCCATTAAATTAATCAGGAGAGCTATGAGTATGTGAAACAGGGCTGCCTGGGAAGCGCTTGCATTTTATTTTTGGGAACCCTAATTTCATTGAGTGCTTGTGTTGTGATAGGAACTTTAATCAGTTCATCTACATTATAGTCAGAATTTATCTTGAATTATAGAATTAGTTAAACCTCTGTGATCTTTCCTTCGTTGTTGTAACCGCTGTGTTTATATAGAATCTTCAAAACATTTTGGAGGCTGATGTTTTAGTCACACCCTATTACTATTTACTAAAGTAAAGTCTCACTTTCAGCTATGATACAAGTAGCCTATTCCAGCCACACATATAGCTGACTCTTGGGTTATAGTGGAAATAAAAGGGTTCTCTGGCAGTTCTGTATTGATCCACAGTGTTTCAGTCTGACACTCTGGGGTCTAATTATAAGCACTGCCAGTCTCTGTGGCCATTCGTTCTGTGCAAATAGAGGCAAAAACTAACGTTCTTAGATATATTTTCTGTTCATGTTGAATATAATGTAAGATAATACCTCATTATGGCCACTAGCGCCATCTAGTTGCCACAATGTAGTATTATATAACATTTGACCAGAAAAGAAACAAATATTTGTCGATTTCTCTTTGTTTCTTTCTTTCTTTCTTTCTTTCTTTCTTTCTTTCTTTCTTTCTTTCTTTCTTTCTTTCTTTCTTTCTTTCTTGTGTACCAAAGCTGCAGAGTGTAAACCTTGTAACCCTCAGTGGGAAGACACATATGTCCTTTGCATTCCACTTTGTTTGAAATTTAAAAAAAATAAATCTTATTTTATCCTCCTTGGTGGAGGTATTTTTAAAGAAACATATGCCAGCAATGTACATTGCTACATAGTATACATTGAAGCAGGCATATGCAGTTGCTGTTAGCTTTCCTCTTCATCGCCTCATGGCTCCTTTTGAAATGGCCGTCTCTGTGCTCTGCAAGCAGTCTGTGTAAATTACTGTGGAACTACAATGTAGGGCATAACTATATATAGTGCACAAAGCAAGGTCCATAAATACATGGATGAGCGAGTTTGGGGTGGAGGAACTTGACTGGCCTGCACAGAGTCCTGACCTCCACCCGATAGAACACCTTTGGGATGAATTAGAGCGGAGACTGCGAGCCAGGCCTTCTCGTCCAACATCAGTACCTGACCTCACAAATGTGCTTCTGGAAGATTTGTCATACATTCCCATAGACGCACTCCTAAACCTTGTGGACGCCTTCCCAGAAGAGTTGAAGCTGTTATAGCTGCAAAGGGCGGGCCAACTCAATATTGAACCCTACGGACTAAGACTGGGATGCCATTAAAGTTCATGTGCGTGTAAAGGCAGGCGTCCCAAGACATTTTAGACAATTTCATGCTGCCAACTTTGTGGGAACAGTTTGGGGATGGCACCTTCCTGTTACAACGTGACTACGCATATATATATGGTGGGCTCTGTGGGGATTAGGCGGCTGTGTGGGGTCTGTGGTGGGCTGCGCAGACTCTCAGGTGGCTGTGTGGGGTCTATGCTGGGCTGTGGGCTCTAAGGTGGCCGTTTGGGGTCTATGGTGGGCTCTGCGGGGTCTCAGACAGCTATGCAGGGTCTATGGTGGGCTGTGCAGGCTCTCTTGTGGCTGTGCGGGGTCTATGGTGGGCTATGCGCCCACCATCTTGACTTCTGTTGATGTCATGTGATGATGATAGTGATATGACAAATGATGAATTAAGAGTCGTACATTTTATTGTTTTACACCATTTCACATTGGCAAGCTTCAGAACAACATGGATTTTGAAATTGTTTCTAGAAGCATTCAACATATCAGCCCTTTCTGCATGTCAAATGTAGATATTACTTTTGCTGGTTGTATTGAATATTGTGTCTGTTTTTCTTTTCTAGCAGTTCTGCGATCAACAAGCACTGGGAAGCAGAACTGGCCACACTTAAAGGAAACAATGCCAAGCTCACAGCAGCCTTGCTGGAGTCTACTGCCAATGTCAAACAATGGAAACAACAGCTTGCTGCATATCAGGAAGAAGCAGAGCGTCTCCACAAGCGGGTGGGTACTGAATTACTGATGTCCTTTACCAACATTGGATCTAATCCCTGCCTGGCAGCTAAGGACATGCTGCAAATGTACTATTGTCTGCTCCATAGGAATTGGCATATGCTCTTTGTTTCCTGTATACCAAAGCTGCAGAGTGTAGACACTGTAACCCGCAGTGCAGGAATCTACAGCTACATAGTTGTTTTTTATTACTTACATAGCTGGCTAGGCTGGAAAGTCACATGTGTCCTTTGTATTCCAATTTGTTTAAAGTAGAAAAATATTTTATCTTAAAACCCGAGTTGATCTAAATGAAGGTAAACCAAATCCTCATTGCCACGGCTAATAAATGTCCTTAACCTAAAGGTCAGTGAGAACACATTAATCATTACAGGGCTTCAGCAATTGGTCTTGATCCTAAAGTCAGTTACAGTCGCTCCATACATAGGATAACCAGCTTTCCATCTGAGCGGTAAGATCGTTGCTGGTTCTCCTGCCTGTGAAGCGGTTGTGACTGTGCTCAGCATGGAGACTGATTGCTGAAGTCCAGTAATGATTTTATGTCTTTTCATTAACTTATATGCTAAGTACATTTATTATCATTGGCTTTGGCATATTAATTGTAAGAATTAGTGATTGCAGCTGGTTGTAGCACGACGTTAGTAATAGAGTTTGTTTAATATATCTTGCTTCTTAGGTTTTAATTAAGAAATAAATAGTGACAATTTGGAAAAAAAATGAATTTGTTTTGTGTGTGTGTCTATCAGTTTTTTGTAGGGTCCCTTCACATTAATCGTACAGTCCCATGTGATTAATGCACTGTACCACACAATCACACTTAACCTGCATTCAGTTGTGGAAGGTGCGTTGTGATTAATTTGAATGACACCCCAAACGCACCTCCCGCAAACAGTCCGATCGCCTGCACCCAACGCCCGGTACTGCAATGCCACACATTCCATTGCGATTTGGGTTGCAACTTAATGACCAAGGACAAATGTGAGTCCTGAGGTTATACAGGTTGAGAACCACTGATTTAAAGTATGTAATTGCAAGTACTGAGTAATTATGATGGTTTTTATTGCATAATTTATGTAAAGTAACTTATGTTTTAGGTTTGCTAGTCCTTGAAGCAACTAGCACATTAATCAGGAATGACTGAGAACTGTGAAACATTCCATAAATGTACAGTGGAATGTTCAAAATGTACAGCAATCTCTCTGCTTCCTCTCTTGGATAATTATTCCTTTGATCTTACCTTTACACAGGTGAGCGAATTAGAATGTCTTAGCAGTCAAGCGAATGCAGTGCAGACGCACAAAACAGAACTTAATCAGACAATACAAGAATTAGAATCTACACTGAAAAAGAAAGAAGAGGTAAGTCATACTTAAAATTGAGATTTTGTTTTTTACATTGTACTTGTGTTTATGTTTATATTAGGATAAGCACTATAGTACACAGGGTCAGATGGAAACTTTTTGGTATGCATCTTACAAAATATGCATGTTTGTTACATAGAGAAAGTTTCCCTGTTATTGATCAGCCAGCTAACATGTTGGTGTGATATCCATGGCAATGAATATTGTATCAGTGCCACTAAGGAGTAGCTCCATGGCCTAGTCACATGGAGATTATAATTACTTTAGATGCGTGAATCAGCAGATGAGCCCAATGTGCTATAGATATGATATAATAGAAAGGGTCGCTTGTGTTTAGTCATCTTCACTTATTACTTTGGTAAGAAGCCCATGGAATGCTATTATGATGCTTGTGGAAACTTCCAGAAATAAATGTTTAAGTCCTCAAATGCCGAGGAAGAAATACACATATAAAGATGTCCTAAATCTGTGCAAATGCCAGCTGACTGGTGTAGCAAATGGGGTCATATAGGACACTTGTGTTGTGAAAATATAAGTGTATAGTAGGAAAAGGATGTAGAACCTTTACGGGAGTTCCAGGCAACCCCGGTTCTTTTCCAGAAAGTGCAGTGTTTATTGGATCCCAGAAACAGAGGACAGGTCCAACAGGGTATATACAAAATAATATAGTATTAAAAGCCCTATGAGCCCCTTTCAGAATGATAGGTTCTTCCTTTTATCCTTTAGCAAAGATACAGTCACTCCACAAAGCCAGAATATATGTGCAATCTTCATATGCACCTATGTGTCTTCCATGCATGTGCATGCCCTTCCTCTGATCTAGCCTTCCTTTCCTATAGCGTTTACTGACTGTCATTAACATTGGAGGGATTTGTGGTTGGATGGTGTGATGATCCTTTTGATGTCCCATCAATTAAAATATTCAGTTATGTGTATGTCCTCCGTCTAGTAGCAATTAACTAAACTAGCAGCAGGTGTTCTAACACTAGAAATGTGACCTATAGGCTTGCTATTATATTATTCCATTTTGTACAACATGTACATAAATGATAGTTGTTTTATGTTGATATTACCTACATGATGGACGTCAGCTATGCACAGGCAGGAGTGTTGAATATGATCCCATATCCTTGATGAAGTAATGCATATACATTTAGATACTCACCAGATAAACTTACAAAGGAGGGCCTTTAAGCCCTCATTTACACATATGGATGGGGTGCCTAGTATGGCACTTTTGTTTGGGAGGAAATGTAACCGGGTAAAACATTTTAAGGTAATTTGTATAAAGTGACTTCATGAGGGATTGATATGTATATATGTATATATATATATATATATATATATATATGCAAATATATATGCAAATATATATGCATTTTCATTGTAAATTAGTGCTAGGAAGCTGGAATGTAGTTAAGGAGGACAGGGATATGGTGGTCTAAACCCCCCCAGAGCATCTGCCACATGTGTCGATAGCACCAGGGGAATGTACCCTGGGTCAGTGATGCCCACACTGTGTAAGTACACAAGATTCCCTGTAATGCTTCTGGTACTCTCATCTGCAAAATCCAGACTACAGATGTTGCACAGCTCAGAGGAAAGGAAATCCTTAAGGCTCCTTCTTGGCTCTGTCATGTGTGTGAGATATCAGGATGCTCTGGTAAAATTGTGTTCTTTAGCCTTGTGGATTTTAGTAACATGTCTGGAAGAGTGGAGATGAAGTTCAAAGTGCAGTGACTTGCTGAACCTCATTATTACTGCCTGGCTGTTTTGTTGATTGTGAAATCTTTTTAAATTTTTTTGTCTTCTGCCTTTTAGGAAATAGAAAGATTGAAGGAAGAAATTGAGCACGCAAAAGAGTTACAAGAGCAGAGAGATTCTTTGAGCCAAAAATTACAGGTACTTGTCAGTCTATATTTCTAAAATGCTATGGGGGGCGGGGGGGGGGGGCAAAGGCTACACAAAGCCCACCGCACATTGATTGAGGTTCCTGTTCTCACACAAGCCTGGAATGGTGCACACAAGTAAATGCATGTCAGTCCCAGAGTTAAAACTAGTAGACTCTTTCTCCTTTAGGCTGGGGACTAACCCTCTGGTAGAGTCTGCAGACACTTGCAGTCAGTGCACCCATCCCAGGTGCACTGCATAGGCAAAATAGGCCCTAACCTTGGATGGAAGTTTGCTATAGGGAGTGCGGGCTTCTCAAAAGTTATGTTGCTGAATGTTAGTATCACGTGTGTACAATTAAAGTTTCTGGATTGTGCCCCACCTGCCAGTGCAATCCGGCTGTAGTCCTTCATTGTTGCTGTCCTTGCATTTTTTGTTCAGTTTGTACTGCTGCTCTAATCATTAATTCTTGGTGTACCAACACATAGTTTCAATGACCCCCTCAACCTTGGAGTGTCCTGTGTGCTTATGATGCCTTATCTTGTCATATGGAAACTTATGCTCACTAATTCACAGGGGCAGGAAGGGGGTGGGGGGGCTTTAGGCGGTTTGCCTAAGGTTAGAAAGTATAAAGCCTAAGGACTATAAGGACTACAGACTGCACAAGTCCCTAATCTACACAGACTCTCCCATACATTAGAGGACATCTCTTCAGGCTGCAACCATGTTTTGTCACTGTACACCTCCCCAACCCTCCTAATTCAGCTTGGCTGTTAATACAAAGACCTCAGATCAGGTCCAAGCACTGTACCGTTTCCTCTGACATATGCACAAGCATAAAAAATAATGGCCAAAGTGCAAAGCTTGAGACCAGATGGCCATTATTCTTTATGACTTAAAGAAGATCTTCAGCTATTTCCAAAATTAACCCTAGCAGTGGGGCTAGTGAGACAACCGTTTGGAGTCTTTGCCCTGGGCACTGGATGAATTTGTCCTGACACTGCACCCAGGTAACCATTTGATTGCTAACAGCAACATACTTAAGAAAAAAAAACGGAATGCGGTTGTAAAAGCACAAAACATTTTTTTAACTTGCACATTTGGATGAGTTATAACATATATCAGCTACTACAATGTTTATGCAATCCTGGCTCTGGTTTACCTTGCTCATTATTAATAAATTACAGCAGTTTAACCATGTTACAATTCCTCCATCCTACTTGATTTTCCATGGACCAAATCCAAGGGCCCGTGGTCATACTGTATCTGCGCCCCAGCCCGACCACTGCCTGTAAATAAGCAAACGAGCAGTTGTAAGTTTGCTGCCTGCATTGATAAATGCTCACACCATATGACCTAATTTTGCATTCTGGAATTTCAGGATGTGTCAGTTGGCTACTTTATAGCAACCTTATCTGTCCTAAAAATTGATCCAAGTGCAGTCATCTCTTCAGATAAAGAGGATTTTGGGGAAATACCCTCTTCTACATTCAATTGGCGACTTTGAAAACACTTTACTCAGCCTAAAATCTGCTTACGTATTCACTTTCTAACTGTGATGAAAGGAATATTAACATAGACTGATAAGATTCTAATTGCACTATTCATCCAGAAGCCAGTATCATGGGCACAGCACTCTTGGTTAAATTAATATGAAGGAAGATTTGATAACTGTTAAATAATTAATCTGGAATAATGCTTGGAAATATACAGAGCAATGAAGAAGCCAGGCACTTAAATAAAACACAAACATAAAAATATTGCCTTATTCATAAATCACTGGGATCCAGTGGCTTTTACAGCTATGTACTAACTGCAGTTTTACACAATAATATCGACTTGTTCAGATTAAGGATTAATATCTATTAAAATATTTGCAGAGGCACCCATAAACTCCCATGCCTTACAGAACTGAGGGTCCCTGGTTCGAATGCCCGGCCAGATCACTATCTGCACAGAGTGTGCATGTTCTCTCCGTGCTTGCGTGGGTTTCCTCCCACACTCCAAAGACATGCTGAAAGGTTAATTGGCTCCTCTCAAAATTGTCCCTGTATGTATGCATGAGAGATAGGGACCTTAGATTGTAAGCTCCTTGAGGGCAGGGACTGATGTGAATGTGCAGCTATGTACAGCGCTGCGTAAAATGTCAGCTCTCTATAAATACCTGTAATAAATAAATACATTTATCTGAGAATGAACCTTTGCGTAAAAAATGTAGTTCACAAGGAAATCTTGGCACAGTGAAGCAGACACATTCTTCTTGGGTTCCACCAGTCAAATCTTGCTCTATAACTTCAGTCCAGATATCTCAGGCTGATAATAATTGAATTATTTTTTCTTATAGGAGGTGGAGACACATAACAAAGACCTGGAAGGACAGCTGACTGACTTAGAGCAACGTCTGGAGAAAAGTCAGGGTGAACAGGAGGCATTTCGCAATAACTTGAAAACTCTTTTAGAAATCCTAGATGGAAAAATCTTTGAACTCACTGAATTGCGAGACAACCTGGCCAAGTTGATAGAGTGCAGTTAAAAAGGCGAAAAGGGCTGCCACCACCAACCTTCTTCAAGATACACCGTCTCCATTCATGACACGGTGGTGGGCTCTGCATCAGAGCTGCACAATACCTGTATGGGAAAATTCCTTTTCCGAGAGTTTAATTGCAAATTTCGTAGTTGGCTGAAGTGTGAAATTGAGACTTGCTTTATTAGCTAACAGAAAGGAAATTAAAAAAAATAAAACTTGAATTACAAATTACCTCCTTATTCCCTTATTGGCCATAACGAACTTTTAACGCATTCAGTGCTAGATCGTCCGAAACGCTAACCCTGAATGTTTACAATTATTACCAGTAGTTTAATGCAATCCACCTCTGGTTTGCTAACAGACAAAAAAACAGTCTCCAGTGTTTTTTTTTCAGACATGTAGAATTTTTATTTCATTTTCTAGGGTTTATTTTAATCTATTTTCTTTTTATGAAATACCTGCCTGCAGTGTTTTGTGCAAAAAAAAAAAAAATGACCTTAGTGATGGGGTGCACCCTTTGTATTTTTTGTTGTAATCTGAATATTTTCTCAGGATATTTTTGCACTGTCAGAAAAAAGTGCATTACAGTACTAATTTACCTAACCAGGATTGAGACAGACTACATCTTTACCTGAAAATACTTACACTCTATCCTACCAGTTGTATAATGTTCTTCCTTTTTTTTCTACTGGAAGCTGTTTCTTTTTTAAATCTGCTCTCGTGTTTTTTTCCTTTGTTTTCTTTACTACTGTGTTCAGTGTAAAGTTGACCTTTTCAGTTCAATTTTGACACTATTTTGTTTTCAAAAAGGGTCTCATTTTCTTATACACTGTAAAGCCAACTCCAAAGGCAGCTGAACACTAGGGAGATTAAAATTGTTAAATTAATATATATATATATATATTTGAAGAACATTATGAAGAATATTTATCAAAAGTTTAATGTATGGACTTTACCTGCATATGAGTATGTTTCGAGATGAATGCAACATGTTTACTTTTTGTCTTTTTGAAACCATCATTTATGAGCGTCTTATGCATTGCAATGTATGTAGTAAGCGATAATAGGATATCCTGTTTGTTCTCAATTATAAGGATATATATCGCTGCGGGGAAGCTATTCATTTGAGGTGGTCAAACTGTGAACACTGCTTAATGGGATGTTGGTTACAGTCAGCGTTTAGCCCCTTCATCCACAATATATACAATGACTTTTCAAGGATTGACTGTATATGGCATGCTTAGCTATTTTGTTATAGTATGAAGACATTTGGGGAGAAAGTACTTTGTTAAAAACAAAATAACCACTGCATAACTTTAAAGCATATCTAAACCGAGAACAAACATTGTTTATATTGCAGCTTTCCAATGTTCAAATGTGAAGGCTATATTATTCTTATAATTTTTTTCCTTTATTTTCACCTGTTGATCCAGCCAGTAACACATTTCCTGTCTTAGGGTGGCTCCTCACTCTATGGAGGAGCAACAGAGCCACCCATGGGCAGCAGCATTGTTCCCCTGTGGAGAGGGCAGTGTTAAATGTACAAATCAGATTTAGATGAACTTGAAAAAAAAAATTAAAAGCCAACTTTTTTAAGAAGTTACAGCAACATTTGTGTTTTCCTTTTGGAATAAAAGTTTTTACATGAATGAATAAAAGTTGACTATTGTAACACTCCTGTCAGTGTTAAATGGTTTGTCTTAACCCTCTTTCAGACACTTTTGTTGGACAGCTTGGTCTGTTAAGGAAGATCAAAAATAAAAGACTTACTGGCGAGATCACAAGGTGAAAATAAATAAAAACTAGCCAAAAAGACAGAACACTAATGCAACCACCATATTTAGGAATTGGTAGGCTGCAATATATTATATTTTTGCTTTTGGATTTAGATACACACGACAAACCAGACATGTACTTTGTCTGTACCACAACAGACAAATTGCTCCAATCTGTGCATTGGGGTATGTTTGCAATGTGCATTTGGGTGTCATTCAAAAGGAATGGTATCACATGGCCAATCAGGCATTATCGTACCGTACATTACCGCAACAGAAATGTGTGAAACCAGCCTCAAAGCTAACCTGTCACATTAGAGGCAAGATCACAGTGTAAATCAGATTGAAGCAATGTAGAAAGGGTTTAATTTGTTTAGTATGCAACTGTCAAGCAACAGCAGTGGATAATTAATTTGTTTAGTATGCCACTGTCAAGGAAAAGCAGTGGATAATTTAGTAAGTGGCATTATCCAAATCTCCAATATTATTATAAAAAATTGCAGAAACACTGCTTTGTGCCTAGATACTGCAAAAAGAACAAATATAAATGGCTGCAGGCAGAATGAAACCACTATTACATTGTAACATTTGTGCACTCACAGACTTAAATTAAACATGTTACCTTATTTAATTAGGGAACCACTGCATGCCCAAGCTCCCTTTTTTCAGGGATAGACAAAGTGGTACTTTAAATAAATTTTAGAAGGCTTTATTAGAAGACAATGTATATGGACCTGGAAAATTTGGGACCACAGAAAAAAATTGTTTGGTAAAGTCTAATGTGACATAATGCACACCTTTTGTACAGTTGGGTCTAGAAGAGGAGACTGTGGATGTACTCAATTTTGCTTTTTATTTTTGATTGGAGGAGGGAAGATTTTTGTTGTCTTTATTGGAAGCTCTAGACAGGCTTTAATAAAAAATAAAATATACATTTTAGTTCACAATTACAGTAAAACCTTACTGTTAGTAAAATTACATTCACACACCAATCAGACTGCCAACCTGTTATTGGCAAAGAGCAGTACTATGCAGTAACCTGACAAAATGCCACCAACCCACTGAAAGCCAGGCTGTTTGGTTGATATTAATCTCTATACATCACTCTTCTTAATATTGTGTTTGCCATTGTTGGAAAATGTATGGTGGTTTGCAGTAATGCTAAAGTCTCCCCGGGCACAGAAATGTCTTGGCGATGCTGCACATTTGCAGTTGCACCAAAACAAATTATGAAACTGTCTTGCAGGGCTACTGGGCCTGCAGTAGTAATGCTATGTAGCAGCTATAGACACCATGTTGTGTTCCTGTTGCTAAACCAGACCAACAACAATGCTACAGTGCAGAAACCTTGTTGTACCTGCAAGTATCCGTTTTGTTCTTCAAATCTATCTCTGTGTCCCTTTGAAGCCCCGTGAATTCTAGGCCCAAACTTGATATGGGACCCCGATTTCTGCTCAACTAGAGAGTAAGTCATGCCTCTTCATGCAGCTAAATCCCACCCCCACTATTCAGCAGTCAAATGCAAAATGTCACTGAAGTTGTGGCCTTTCACAAACCCATAAAAGAGGAAGATTGGCTTAACTCTGTTTGGAAAGAAGTCTAGGTTCCTGTGCAGCCCAGACATAGAATCAAAGGAACTCCCCAGGGACAGGGAATCATTTGAAAACCAGCATGGATACTTGCTGGCAGGACCATGTGTCTGAATGTCAGCACTGTTCCTTAGAAACATTTTAGGCCAGACCAGGTTCACTTTAAGTTGAACAAACTTTCTAGTTCAGTCAAAACTGGAAACTTGATTTAGTGTAAGCGGAGGAGGGCGTCCCTGCCTTCTGGTGCACCCTTGTTCCACTATTGTTTAGCCACCTAAGTTAATCTGTGCTGATGAAGCAGCTATTAAAATAAGATGGAGACACTTAGGGGCTTGTTTGAAAAATCCGCCACCCAGCCTATAGCTGGATAAATGCCATTTGCATGACACGACCGGCACTACCGAGAGATTTGCTATGCTCCTTCGCTCGCAAAAAATGTGGGGAATAAGGAAATATTGTCTGTCTTTTCCATGCAGAATATAAAGTACAAGCCTGCGATGTGTCATAAAGAGTCTATTTATTGGAGGCATGAAATGAATACACTTAATAAACTTACAATAATAAACAATACATTGGTTAATAACACATACATTCATTAAAATGAACAATACTTTAAATGATTCATTGATTTGATAGTTAAGAGTTTTTTTGAAATTCTAAAATATTTAATCCTTTTAATTAACATTTTTCCAGAAAAATTTAAGTTGCAATTAAATTACAATTGATGATTTTTAATTTCTGTGAGTCAATTTCCTAGTGAAAGGTCAATTTCCCTTTTATTTATGACACATTTCTTTCATATCTCATGACAGCTAGAACAGCAAGGAAAACCATAATGTAAGAAAAAGAAAAATCAAATAGGCTTTAAAAACAGTCAAACAGAAAAAAGGTATGAAAAGTCTTCAAAAAGTATTTAAATACACAGGAAATACATATTTGGTAGCTGTGCACCTGCCAAAATTGAGATTTACGCAGTCCTGCACTTTCACTTGAGGTCTCCTAACCACCAAGTGACTGGACAGTGAAAAGAGAAGCAGCACTCTGTCATCTACTATCAGTATGCTCTTTACACTGCAGCACAACTGATTGGCTCTTTGTGCTGCCTCTCCCCCTCCTTTTGAATTTTGCTGTACAGGGACTGCATTAAGCTAATACTAAGTCAAATTCAGGTATTTTTGATATGGTGGGGAAGAGTTTGATCATTTGTCAAGTGTTCCTGATATCTGGGACAGGAGGTCCAGGGAAATTTATCAAAAAACTTTTTGGATGGAGGGGAATGGCTTTTTTTTATGTTGGTGTCCCTTTTGTGATATCCTCTCACATCCAGTTGTGCCACTGGAAGGTTTTTTCCATTTTACCCAAAAATAAAGAATAGATGTCTATATTATCTCAAAGGGAGTTTCAGTATAAAAAAAACCCTCCAAATGTACAGTCTGCCCTCAGTAGTGGCATTTACATTTTCTTTGCGTTGTAAACTGTTTAAGCAATAATACCCATTACTGTAGCTATTATTATTTTAGTTATAGCTTTTGTTCTTCTCATATGTTCTTTTTGTTGAGGCTTGTACATTATTGGTGCAATCTCTGCCTTAAACACAACACTGTATTACATAGGATCAGCCTCAAGAGTCCTTGTAGTATTCATAAATTTTTAATATAAAAAGGAAAGGACACATGATATAACAGTTATTTATGTACCTGAGAAGGCCATATCAAAGCACACATATACTAACAGAGTGGAGGTAACCTTTTTTTCCCCCAAGGGTTAAATTAATGTGTTAAATACTAATCAATGTAAACTCACAGGACTGCTCTTCTAACAGTGCAAAAAAATGAAATATATTGGG